ATTATTCATTCACAACGAGTCTATTAATAATCAGTTTTAAGCTATTCTTTGTCAATTTCTTGAATGTCACTTTTGCTTTTGGAGCCCTTACCAGAAGGGGGTGATTATTGGAATAGTGGCGCTTACCAAAAAAGGGCACTCTATGGGCTGTGGGGGCACTTATTGGATGGAGGGCCCTAAATTAAATCATTATAGTACCGAAAAAAATTTAGCCAACCTTATTTTCTGGGTGTACAAGAGGGACAAGAGCATTATCTTTTGTACCCATTGCCTGTAAAAAACCAAAGATGACACCATTCAATTAAATATACAGTGGAACCCCGCCTTACGACTACCCCGTTAATATGGCCACCTCGTTATTACGGCCAATTTATTCTGGCCCAAACAAAAGCCCAGTCAGTCATTTTCTTATTTAAAGAACCCCTTTAATACATCCACCCCATTAATACGACCAGATTTTTGTGGCCCATTGGTGACTGGATTAATGGGGTTCCACTGTATTAATCAACTTGTCAATATATTCTGTACATGCATATATTTATTTCATTTATTAATTTTAAGATCTAGAAACACCTGGTGGACCTCAGCTCAACAAGCAGCAGTTAGGTTTGAAAATTCATGAAGCAACATGGAACATAGTGTCCATGATTGAAATGAGCAGAGAAAGACAGCTTCACATGAAAGCGTAGGGAAAGAGAGAGACATTTTTTTTGTATACATGCATTTTAAGCAACATTTGTTCTCATACCTGTAGAATTGTATTGTTCACAAGAGTTCCAATCATGGATGAGTAGACCCTAAAGACAAGTGTGAATTCTTGTTATAAAAAGTGAGATTCATGTCAAACTGATCTTTATAGTTGCATGGAATTGAAAACAGTCATTAAAACTGTTGACTAAAAGCAAGCCTTACCTTGGTAATAAACCCCTGTACAATCCACTCCAGCCATTGAGCTTCTTAACATGGTTTGCTAAAATACAAAAACAAAGAAATTGATACTAGCTGATTATAAAATTAACCTAACATAGATACACAACAGTAATGAGTCCTCACTAAAGTCCAGAACGTGATCCATTAATAGTGATTTATTGTAAAACTGACATACAGTCTGCACTAATTCTCTTATTTCTTGTCTTATTCAGTTCATTCAAGATGATGTAATGTCTACCATTCCAAAATGCATGTTTCTTTTGCCAGAGCTGTACAGCTTTGGTCGTCCAAAATCACAGTAGCAAAACATCTGGGCAACAGCAAATAATAAATTGTTGTTCGGTGGCAGAGTTGTTGCATATCGTATTGTAGCCAGTGTATTCAGGTACATATTATACACGTATAATTTGTGGGGAAATGTACTGTAACAGCCTTATCTAGAGTCCCTTACCATATTGAAAAAAGCTTGGTAGTCGTAACACCTTGGTTCCTAAGAATGTTTTTGATGGAGTTGGAGGAATTGGTTCATGACCAACCTTGATGTCATTCACAAAAAGAAAAATTGTTAACCTCTAAAACTGGACAAAATAAACATATGAAAATATTATATTAGATGTTACCAGGAGCAAAGCTCCGACAATAAAAATAATGTACTAGTAGTAAGAGGAGCAAGGCTGAAAACAAAGTTAAAAAAAAAATGTAAGGATTACGAAGCTAAATGACTAGGATGTGTTTTGAGTCTCCTTATTTACTAGGGACAGAAGCAGGACAGACAAGGGCAGGAGTCAGGAGATAATGGTACGGGAAGTGGGAGACCAGAGTACAGGAGGCCTGAGGTTCTGAACCCCCTGTTCCCCTCGCCCTTCCCACGTCTCATTGCTGCCATTTCACTGGCTAAAACTTGATTTAGATGATCAGGTAACAGCAAGGGATTGGATGTAAACCCTTGTTGTTAGTATTGATGTTGCACGAGTCGCACATGCATGGAAATGCACCTTTTATCGCTAGCTTGTCATCATTTGCATAACTTGTTACACTTAGGTGGCCTCTAACAAAACCACCCAAAAAGCCAATTTGAAGTGATAGTATTCCAACTGATGAAGATATCTGAGTGTGTAATGTCTTTACGTTTTTCCAGTGATGCTTGAAAATGTACTATGTTTTACTTACCACCTAGCTAGGAGCCTAGGACGAGCAGATCATGCATGTACTAAAGGCATCAGATACCCTCGATCGATACCCTCAATCAATACCCTCGATCGATACCCTTGACCGACCCTCAGTCGACACTCCATCAACATCTCAGTTGACACTCGATGGACACTCGATCAACATCTCAGCCAACATTCAGTCGACTGGTCAACTAATTTCCGATCGATGCAAAGATGTCGGTTGACACTCAGCCGACTATCGACCGACTGTTGATTGGGTGTTGATCGAGTGTCGACCGAGTATCGATTGGGATGTTGACCGAGTATCGATTGGGATATCGATCTAGTACCAATTGCTCAAGATGTCGATGGAGGGTATCGATCGAAGGTCGATCGGAGGTCGATCGGGACATGATCCGGACCAGCTAGGGCTTAGCTTAGTTCGGTTCCAAGGCCAGCCGTTTTAAAAAACAACAAATCATTGGTAAGATAAAGGTAAAAGGGTAGTTTTAGAGATATAAGCCAATTTGAACTTTTTAAATTGAGCTTATCATAAGCTTTTATTGCTACTGGAGGGCTGAGCGCGCCCGCAAATAAAGGAAGTGAAAGCCAACAGTTTTACACTATAAACGTCCACAATTACCTGCATTAGAAGCCTAACACATGTCAGTGGTTGGGTTGCTGTGGTCATAAATGCCGTCAGAACAAGGGCACCAGCAGTAGTGCCTTCATTATCCAGCAGATCCTCGAAGCTTTGACCATTGCCATTCTCGTTTGCAGCCGCCATATTGAAGTTGCTCTTCTGCACGAATGTGAGGTTGGATTGTGCGACAATTATTCCCAGTGAGGGCGGGGTAAGAAAATTACACAGGATATTTAAAAACTCAATTTGTGATTTGTTTTATCGCTTTTAATCCAAAATGCGTAAAAAATATTATCAAGGAAAATTGCATCACTGTTTGATATGGCGTTTTAAGGTTCAGACTTATTATTTTGGTCTTTCGGTGCTTACATAAGACATCTCACTCCACCCCACACAGACAAGGACAACGACACCGAAGCAAGATGGCGGCGCAAGTAAAGCAAATGTGGAACTCTCTGTCCAGTGCTAGTGGTTCACACAAGGATATTACGGGGAAGTATCGCGAAATTCTAGAAAAGGTTTTCAAATTCCAAGAGCCTGCTCTTACGGAAGGCCTTAAAACGTTTATCGAGGCTGGTAAGTTCGTAACACGTTTACCTTAGTTTGCAACTTTGCATGACCACTGAGACGAGAAAAGCAAAATGCCGCTGTAATTAAGTTTTTCCGTAATAGTTCCTTGTGTATTTTAGCCGTAAGATAATTAACTGGCCTTTAGTTATATATTGTTCATTGTTTACTGTCCAGCAGAAATTAATTTTTCAACTGGCTTATCCCAAGGGATTGATAAGTTTAGAAGCTTTAGCTGAAAGAGTGTTCAACTTTTTTTATCTCTTAGGATCATTTAAAAAAGGTGATGAAAGAATTTAGGATTGTTAAATTTTGATACTATTACGGTCGTTCTTAATAGTTTAAACTTCCATCCATTAAATGAGGAGTTTTTTAAGTTAATTAATCCATTTAAGTCATGAGGTTCAATCCAAACTTCAAATTTTGATTTGGGTGTAGTGTTAAGCTCACCCCATTTTGGCAGGCTGGGATTCCAAATATCCATAAGAGGTGAATGTCAATCAACATTTCTTTGTTTTTTTTTTTTTATTTTCACCACTTACCTTTTCAAGGCCCTCAAAATGTAATGCCGAAATGCATATTTGGTTTCATTTTGGTACTGTGAGAGAGTCACAAAACGGGAGTGGCCAGAAAAAAAAACTCAGAGGAAATACAATGGTCCAAGGCAGGCCAAATGGTTCATGGAGCCAGAACTTAATCCAATTTTTGTAGTATTGAGCAGCTAAGAATATTTCTACTTCCCCTTGGGTGTAATGCTTGTCCATCGCAGGATAACCCTGACCATTTGATCTGCAGTTCAGTATGCTAACGATTGGGCCTTTGACTGCGCCTTTGCACTTCATTAGGGGAGGTGAATGGTAAATCTGATACTTAGTGTGGGATAGCAAGATTAATATATATATATA